ACAACTACAAGATGGTGTCATGCTAGAAACTAAAGTAGCATTTGTCACTAAGTCCAATAGAGTCAGTATTTCCACTGGCACTGGAACAGATAGCTCTTATGTGACCCCAAATCAAAACTTAATTTGCATTTTTTTAGATTTATTTATTTATTTATACAAGCACTGGGTACAGTGCTTGTCAGAAGCACGGGAGGGTGAGAGAATTCACCAGAGCCAGAGCAGGGAACAGAACAGGCAGACTGATGAAGTACACTGCTGAGGGGAGCAGTGGGTGGCAGGAGAGGTCTGCAAGCCATGTGGAACCGGTGCTCCAGAGGCTGCAGGCAGCTTTGCTTCCCAGTGGTCAACCACTGCACCACCAGGGGAGGCCCTTAATTTGCATTTTAAACATATGCATATGTTAGTATATAGATGGGGGAGGGTGTGTTGAGGAAAGGTGCCTGAGACTATTTTCAATGGCTACCAAAGCAGGAAGTTAGGGGGAGATTATAACATTGTCTTTTATTTGCAGCCAAATAAAAGTACAGAATTTTAAACAATTTTTATTATGAAAATTTTCAAACCTATACAAAAAGAGACTTGTATTGCTAGCAGGTCTGTATCATGAGAAATGTTAAAGAAAATTCCTCACATAGGGGAATATAATATCAAAACAAAAACTTGATCTATACATAGATAGGAAGAGCTCTAGAAATGATTTTTAAAAGAAATATTTTTATTTTCTTATTTGTAATTACTCTAAAATATAATTGACTATGTAAAGCAAAATAGTAATAAATTACTATGAAGTTTGCAACATATTTAAAAATAAAATAATGCAAAGAATAGGAGAGAGTAATTAATAGTGTCATAAGTCTTATATATAAAGGGATATAATATTTGCCAGTAAAATGTTATAAACTAATGATGTATGTTACATGCACATCAGATCAGAAAAAGAATCATTACCATAAAAAACCAATAGAGGAGATAAAATGAAATCATTAAAAAGGCTTTAATAATACAAAAAGTACAGAAAGAGGGAGAAATGAATGACAAAAAGAAAACAAATAGCAAGATTGCCGATATAACTTCAAATATACCAGCAATTACATTAAATACCTATGTACTGAATACCCCCCAATCAAAAAAACAGAGATTGTCAGATTGGATGAAAAAATCAAGAATGAAGTATTATACATACCATAATCCATATTAAATATAAAGACACAGGGCCTCCCCGGTGGCGCAGCGGTTGAGCGCTGGGTTGTGAAGCTGCCTGCGGCCTCGGAGGCGCCGGTTCGATCCCCGGCTGCTCCCCGGCCACCAGGAGGAGGGTCCCACATGGCACGCAGACCTCTCCTGCCGCCCGCTGCTCCCCTCAGCATTGTACTTTGGTCCTTCTGCCTGCTCTGCTCCCCGCTCTGGCTCTGGTGAATTCTCTCACCCTCCCGCGCTTCTGACTGTACCCAGTGCATGTATAAACAAAACAAACAAACAAATAAATAAATAAAACATGCCTCTATAAAATAAATAAATAAATAAATAAATATAAAGACACAGACAGGTTAAAAGTAAAAGTTAGAAAAAAGATATACCATGCTAACATGAAGTTAAAAGAGTGACTGTACTAATATCAGATAAAGTAGAATTCAGAACAAGGAAGGGATAAAGATGACAAAATAATCTTAAATGTGTGTGCCCCTTAACAAAGCATCAAAATACATAAAAACTGATAGAACTAAAAGGAAAACTAGACCTACCTGTAATTACAAACAGAGACGTCAACATTTCTCAGAGAAGACAGAAAATACATAAGGATATAAAACACTTAAAATTGTACTATCAACTAACTCAATACAATTGACAAGAGAAGAACACCATACTTAAAAGCCTCCAAATACATTTTAAAAATAATATTTTATTCTTTTCATTGTGATAACAGTAGGATTCTCTCCAATGTAGGGTACCTGCCACCAAATCACCCACAGTGCACCATCAATCTTCCACTTTGGGTGCTTCAGTTTCATAGTCTGTTTTCAAGGGTTAGCTTTCCGGTTTGTCATTCTCTGGTTGTTAGTTTGGTTTCTTTATATTCCATTTATTAGTGACACCACCCAGTATTTATCTTTCTCCTCTGACTTTTTTCCCTTAGCATCACCTCCTCCAACTCCATCCATGTTGCTGCAAATGGCACGAATTTATCTTTTCTGATTGCTGCAAAGTCCATTATATATAAGTACCAAATCTTCGTAATCCATTCATCTCTTTTGGGGCTTTAGGCTGTTTCCATATCTTGCCTATTGTTAACAGCGCTTCAGCGAACATAGGAGTACAAACTACTGTTATAGTAAATTGAAAAGCAATAATGACTCCCTGATGCAAAGAGGATAAAATCTAAATTCTTAAGCCTTCCATTAAGCCCCCATGCAGCAGACACAAACACAACCTCCTACTGCTTTCCTCTGTGTGTACCAAGACACGTCATTACCTTTGCTCATACATTCTTTTTTTTCCCATTCGAAGGAATGTTTATTTATTTTTTTTATTTTATACATTTTACATCATTTTTCATTTTTTAAATTTAATTTTTTTTGCACATGCATGCATTTTCATCTTGGTTATAGTCCCCATACAATTCCCAGCCCCCTTGTTTTGATCCTACTCCCTTCTCCCCACTTGTAGTGTGCCTCTGGTTTATAGTTGCCTGTTGATTTCGATTTTTACTTTATTATAATTAGGTTTTTTCCTGGTCCCCAAATGCCCAAAAATAGATGACTGGATTAAGAAGATGCTCATACATTCTTATGCCTGAAGTAACCAGGCCTGGTAAACTCTAACCCTTCTTCTCTGTTTATTTAAACTCCAGGAATAGGGGCCTCCCCGGTGGCGCAGCGGTTGAGCGCTGGGTTGCGAAGGTGCCCGCGGCCTCTGCAGCGCCGGTTCAATCCCCGGCTGCTCCCCGGCCACCAGAGGAGGGTCCCACATGGCGCGCAGACCTCTCCTGCTGCCTGCTGCTCCCTTCAGCAATGCACTTCGGTCCTTCTGCCTGCTCTGCTCCTCGCTCTGGCTGGGTGAATTCTCTCACCCTCCCACGCTTCTGACTGTACCCAGTGCTTATATAAATAAGTAAATAAATCTTCAAAAAAATAAATAAAAATAAACTCCAGGAATATTAGGGCCTACCATGTGAGTTTTCGATTAGCCTTGGTCAATGATACAAGTTTCCCCTGCTATCTGAAAACAGACTATGCTTAATAAAAATTTTAAATGGAAATGGCATAAAGGAAAGACATGGTTACCAAAAAATATCCTACCAAAACATACCAAATAGTACATAATAAAGTCTAAAATATCACTAACACAGTAAAAATCAAGAATAACATGATAAATATGCACCAATATAAAGGTAGGTTCAGGGAAAGAGCTGGGTGGTCTCTGCTCTCACGGTTCTCGGAATGTGCTGCCTCCGAAGGGTTGCTGCAGAACAGATGCTGATCTCTACTTTTACTTTCACTTTTTGTTGTAAAAGCAAAAATTCTCATTGGATTTCTTTCATTTAGTGAAAAGAGGGATTAATACAGGTCTTTCATAAAACCAAAAGAGGAGAAATGCAAACTTTCCAAAGTTAGTAGATCCCTGTAACTGCTTTGCTGTGAAAATTCCTGTGTCTCCACCATTCAGAATTTACAACACAGTGCCTTGTGTTGTCACTTGTGGCTTGTGTTTACATGTAAATTCCACAAATTGGTATGATGGTAGGGAATCTACTTTGGTTGGAATCCTACTTTTTTTTTTTTTTAAAGAGGCATGTATTTTTATTTATTTATTTGTTCGTTTGTTTGTTTATACATGCACTGGGTACAGTCAGAAGCGTCGGAGGGTGAGAGAATTCACCAGAGCCAGAGCAGGGAGCAGAACAGGCAGAAGGACCGAAGTACACTGCTGAGGGGAGCAGCAGGCAGCAGGAGAGGTCTGCGCGCCATGTGGGACCCTCCTCTGGTGGCCGGGGAGCAGCCGGGGATCGAACCGACGTCACAGAGGCCGCGGGCAGCTTCGCAACCCAGCGCTCAACCGCTGCACCACCGGGGAAGCCCTGGAATCCTACTTTTGCCACTAGTAGCTACACAATCTTGAGCAAATCATTCGGTCTCTTTGAGTCTTATTTGTGAAGTGGGTCAATAATACCTATGTTATAGCATTCTGATGGTTAAATGAAGTAATTTTGGGTAAAAAAATCTCTAACTTTGCTGGGCACATAACTGTCAATAAAAGTAAGTTCCTTTCTTCTTTATTCTCCCACATGACAAGTGGGTAGAATCATGTCACTGATATTGAGTTATATCCTCTATCATTCCAAGCAATATTCTAAATTATGAGGATACCAGCAACTTTAGAAATGATAATATAGTTCCATATATCAAGTCGCTAACTCTCAGCTTGCTGTAGGAGTCAGCTGACATCACAGACTCTGGGGTCAGAAAAATCTGAATTCAAATTGCAGCTCTCTACTCCAACTTTTGCTCAAGTAGCTTAACCTATCTGAGCCTCAGATTCCTCATCTAAAAAGAAGGGTTGCTCTGAGGATTAACCAAGATAATGCATGTTACACACTTGGTACACAGTAAATTCTCAATATTTTCACAAAGTATTAATGCTCAATAAGTATTAACCATTTATTATTTTTGTCCACATTATTGTTGATTAATAGTAACATCTTTATTTCCTGTGCCTGGGAACCACTGTTAAATGACAATATCTATGCCTCTAAGTTAGATACTGTGTTGTAAACCAGTGTTACCTCAATAATATAAGCTGTTAGGAAGACAGTGAGGTTCCACTGACAAGTTATAAGGAATCTTGAGGTAGCCTAAATTACATACAGGGAAATATTATCACCATTATGTAAATGTGCCTATTCTAGCAGCTGTCAAGATAATAACATTTTAACTAAGATTATATAGAAGTTTTAAATAGATGGTACTTAATTTCATCTATAATCTTATTTTTCTAATTTGCAGTTTCTGTAACCTAACGGCTACATTTGCGATAGAGACCCCGGGCGTGATTCCCAGGTAATGACCAACGCCTCATCAGGCTCTAATGGAGGAAGTTTTCAAAGACAAGGATGGTAGCTAAAAAGGAAAAACAGCTCTCCCTTTGTCTCCCAAAAGTAGAGTCTGTGCAGCCAATCTTCAGAGTCCCCAGAATATATCTTATTATGCAAATTATTATTGTATGGAGTATAACAGAAATGAATTCTAAAAAGAAAAAAAATCTTGGATGAAATGTGCATTTCCAAGTCAGAGGCATTTATAAATCTTTTATTTAGATAAAGGGGTAGCTATGAAATCTCTTTTCCTACATGATAGAAACTTGCTATTTTCCTGGAACCTTAATATGCTGCCCTATATGTGATGTTCTAAAAATTGCATGTGTCTGTTCTATCAGGGATATGGCAGGAAGAAATTCCAGAGCACTGTTACTGCAAATCAGGCCCCTTTTATTCATTCCCCTTATTGCCTCTGTCTTCCCATCAAATGTGTCTTTCAATTCCACCCAAGGGACAGAGGTAGACACTCTTAGTATGGGAACAGGGGGAGAGTTGGTGGCTGGGACCCAATCTCCAGGTCAGCCCCCTACCACCAGCCATTGCTTTAATGCATCCAGGAAAACAAGTCTCTCTCTCGACTTGGTGACTGTTCTTTGGAGAGCAGAGTAAAAAAAACAGTACAAAAGTTGGGGCCACGGTGACTTTGCTTCTTTGTCCTGGGTCTGATATTTCTTGTTTTTTGTATAGTGTAAAACAAACATGGAAGACAAATAATTAAGTTACTTTACACCCTAGATCCTATTTTTGGTGCCAATGGAAGATTAATGGATGCAAATAACCTATAAATGAGACAAATCTTACATTGTTTCTAAGTAACTGGGAAATACAGATAAACCTTCTGTGACAATCTCTTCCTCAAAGGAAATTTCCTATCTGTGACTAATGACACCATCTTCACATTCCTGAATTCTGAAACATGGGAGATGTCCTTGATTCCTTCACATTTCTCAAATCTCACATCTTAACAATCACAAAATCAATCTAATCTAACTTCTGAATATATCTTAGATCTACCAAACATTTCTGTATTTCTTTAGCTACTAACTTAAGACCCTCATCATACTCATTTTTTTAAAAACTTCATAACTGTTTTTTTCTGCCTCCATTCTCTGCTTCCCATTCATTCATTCTCCACACTACAATCATAACATCCTTCTAAAATGATAATTCTATACCATATTTCTGAAACTCCCTCTACATTCTAGTCTATACTCTGTACTCTGTTGCTTGATAAAAGCTGTCTTTTTCATCTCTAACCACCTAAAATTCCTCATCACAAACCACTCCACCTCCTTCCTGGCCTCTGGTCACACTGAACTAGTTTTAGTTCCAGAATGTTTGGGAGTGAACTTAAGGTGTCCTCATGTCTCCATGCTCTTGCCCATGCATCTCTCTTAGCCTAAAACCTTGTCCTCACCTTAGTCTCTTCCTCTACTCTCAGGCTTTTTTTTTTTTTCTTTTGGTCAAACTAACTGATACCCTCCTAACCCTACACACATCTAGCTAATTCCACCTATACTAAGCTCAGAATTCACCTCCACTGAAAAGCCTTTATAATACCTTGTTCCCCTAGAACTGTATACTTCTTTCCCTTACTATTTTGACCCACAGTGTTTATTTTCCTACCCGATCAGCCTCAAAAACTAAGAGGTAAGAATCTTGAGAGTAGATAAAATGTCTTAATGATCTCTGTTCTCCTGTCAGTGGCATGACTTAGTGACTCAAATATTGTTTGACAAAGTAATAACCAAAGTGAACAATGAGGTGTTTTTCCTTTCTTATTTTAGACCAAGTGGCTACGTGGTTGGTGCTATACTCTTTCTTCTGATGCTCATAGTATTCAGTATTCTAGTTTTGAGCTACTTTCATTATATGAAGATTTATAAAAAATACGTTTATGAACCAACTGACACACATCAAGGAAAACGAAAAGATAATTAAGAAAATTTATTATGGATATATGTATGCAGAAGATGTGTGATGATATATTTATTTTGAGAGTGTTTTATGACCAAGAAATACTAAATAGAATACTAAATATTATCATATTATTCAATATCTAAAAAAGTCCCCTCAAAAAATTGTTCCTATGTTTTCTCCAAGTAGAAATATTTTTATTTTCACTTATATTGTATGTTATAAAATTAATCCTTAATGTATTTACATTTGTCTTGAGCTACTCTTTATACTCTTATATGAATTTTTAAATAAAATTCTTACCAAAAATATGGTTGATAAAATCTTTCCTAAAAATGAAAATAAATTTTTGGAAAATGTATAATTATAATGTGTCAAGTATTATTTTGCACAAAAATTTTCATATGAAAGTTTTTTAAATAAATGTATACAAACAATGTGTCAATTTTAAATAATGTCTTGAACATATATCAGAAGTTTTTCTAATGGTTGAGTCATATGTGAAATTCTTATTTTAATGAAAAAATGCGGATGCTTCATGTTTTAAAATTTGATTTGGATTCCCAAAATAAGCTTCTTGATTTATCTAATGTCATCACAGCCTTCTAAATAACTAATATTTCTAACAGAATTCAACCAGAGAAGTAGAACCTGTGTTTGTGTGTGTGAGAGAAAGAGAGAGAGAGACAGAGAGAAACAGAGAGAGACAGAGACAGAGAGAAAGACATTTTTTGAAGAAATTGGCTTTTTAACAGTAGAGGATGCTAAACAAGAATAATATCCATAGCATAATCATGAGGAATGATCATAGAGATGATCACAGCAACACAAAAAGAATTTCTTGATCAGGAACAAGACCGAGAAGTTCTGACATTGCAAAACAGTCATCATAAATACTGAAAGAAAGGAGGTAAAATCATCTTTCAATAATAAAATGATATGCCTAAAAACCAAGATCACTATCAAGAACGACTAGAATAAGATAATTTGATGGCTCCATGAGACAGATATTTAAAAATAAGTATTGTTTCACCACAATAATTACATAACAGCAATAGAAACAATAAAAATAATCTTTTCATTGTGACAAATTTAATAGAATTTATTTTAATGTGATGTGTATGGCATACATGAAATACACTTTAAAATCTTTTTTCTTACTTTTATTTTTTTCTTAAAGATTTTTATGCTTGTTAACTTTTCTTAAATATTTATATGTAATGTTGGTTTACAACATTCTGTATGATTTAGTAGAATAATTTCAAAGCACTTCAGATGTATGTTACCACACCACACCCATTATCAAAGCACTCATAATCCTCCACTATAGTCCATTGGACCCCCTCACCTTTGTTCCAAAACTTCCCCCTCCCTCTACATAGCCTCAGTTCTGTAGTCAAATTTCCAGGGTTTTAGTTTTGGTTTAGCTTTGTCTGTTACTTTGTTTTGTTTCTTTAAATTCTACATGAAAGAAATCATCTGGTAGATGATTTCAAGAGAGGTCTGCACGCCATGTGGGACCCTAACCTATGGCCAGGTATCTAACCGGTGCTGCAGAGGCTGCAGGCAGCTTCGCAGCCCAGCACTCAACCGCTGCACCACTGGGGAGGCCCAACTGAAGATTTAAACAGGAAAATGGGGAGTTGCACAATGTAACAAGAACAACAGAGGAAATTATTTAAAATTCCGCAGAACATTGTGGAAGTAGGATGGACCAGTGGAGAATTGTATCAATGATCTTGAAGATAATGATGCACAAAGGACCACATGGAAGGAGAAATACAAAAGGAAAAAATGAAGAAACACTTCGATGATTATCTGACTCCATTAGGAAAGACAATAGAGGGTAATGGGTATGCAAGAATGGAAAGAAAGAGAGAAAGGAACAGGGTGTATTCAAAGAAATAAAAGGAATGAGCTAAATATGTAAGTCCTTGAAACTGAAAGAATACCTGGTTACTTAAACGCAACAAGAACTACACCAAGATCCATAGTAGTGAAACTACCAAGAGTTCAAAACAAAGAATATTCAGTGGCTAGGGAAAAGAGGCAAGTAATCTATTAAGGGACTCCATACTTACATCAGACTTTTCTGAGGAAACCCAATAGACACGGAGAGAATGGAATGATGTTTTCAAAATACTTAATGTTCTATCCGGAAAGACTCTCTTTCAGATATGTGCAATAAAGGCTTTCCTGACAAGCAGAAGTTGGCAGTTTGCCAACACAAGAGCACTCATTCCCAAAAAGTTGAAAAGAGCTCTCCTATCTAATTCAAAGAGAAGAAAATCCACAAAAATCTGAACAAGGAAATATAACCAGAAAATTAAAGACAAAATGGCAGTAGCAAATCCTCATGTATCAATAGTCACCCTATATGTAAGTGGACTAAAATCACCAGTCAAAAAGCACAGAGTAACTGGTTTGATCAGGAAACAAAACCCAATTTTTTTCTCTTTCCAAGAAATCTATCTGTGCTCCAAATAAACTGGATCAAAGTAAATGGTTGGAAAACAATCCTACAAGTAAACAGAACCCCTGCCCCCATAAAAAACAGTGGCAACCATACTTAGATAAAATAGATTTCCAGCTAAAAAGGTTACAAGAGACAAAGATTGATAAAATGGTTAAGGGATCAATACATCAGGAAGACATCAACTTGTACATATATATATACAAGACAACTTTTATCAAATATGAAAACAGACATTGACAACAACACAATAGTATTAGGAAAAATCAACACCTTCACTTTCCTCAACAGACAGATCAACCAGATGGAAAATAAACAAGAAAACAATAATCATAAATGAGAAATTAGATCACATAGGCTTAATATTTATAGGGTACTACACCAAAAAGCTGAATGAACATTCTTCTTAACTGCACATGGAGCTATTCCACAGTAGACCACATGTTTGGTCACAAAACAAGTGGCAATAAATTCATGAAGACTAAAATCATATCAGGTATCTTCTCTGATCATGAAAGTATCAAACCAGAAAGCAATCACAAAGGGAAATCCCTTTAGTATGGGGAGACAAAACAACACACTACTGACCACTGGATTAATAAGAACATCAAGGAGGAAATTAAAAAATATCTCAAAACAAACAAATGAAAACACATGCTACCAGAACCTAGGGGACATGCAGAAACTGTACTAAGCAGAACATATATAGCAATGGAGCCCACATTAAGAAACAAGAAAGAACTATCACACCCCTCATTTTATAGTTGCTTAGTCTTTTTTCTGGTCCCTTATTTAGGTTTTCTAAATTCCTGCTATGAGTGAGACCATCTGGTATTTTTTCTTTTTCTTTCTGACTTATTTCAAGACATACTACGGGGAGGGGGAGAGGGGGTAGAGGAAGCACTAGGGTCAAAATAAGGGGGGATGCAATTGTATGGGGAATATAACCAAAATGAAAATGCATACATTGTGCAAAAATGAAAAATGATATAAGAATCATATAAAATAAAATATTTAAAAAAAATAATCACACCTCTCACTTAAGGAACTAGAAAAAGAAGAATAAACAAACAGAAAATGTTATAAGGAAAGCAACAATTAAAAACTAGAGCAGAATAAATGAAACAGAAATAAAAAGGACAGTCCAAATGATCATTAAAATCAAAAGCTGGTTCTTTGAAAAAAATAACAAATTAGATAAACCACTAGCTAGGCTCACAAAGATAAAAATGGAGAAAACTCTCATAAATAAAATCATAAATGAAAAAAAAGTTCCTACAGATATCTCAGAAATACAGAGGATCATAAGAGAGTACTATGAAAATCTGTATAACATTCAGTTGAATAACCTAGAAGAAATGCACAAATTCATAGAAACATACAAGCTTCTGAGACTTAATCAGGAAGAAATCCTGAACAGACCAGTTACAAGCAAGGAAATTGACACAGTAATCAAAAGTCTAAAAAAAAAAATGTCAAGATGAGATGATATCACTGGTGAGTTTTACCAAACTTTCAAAGATGAACTACTACTTATCATCAAACTTTCCCAAATTTTTAAGTTTAAAAGGCAAGCTCCCAAACACAACTTAGAAGGCTAACATTACTGCTACCAAAAGCAGACAAAGACATCACAAAAAAGAAAACTAGAGACAAATATCCCTGATTAACATAGACGCAAAAATCCTCAACAAAATGTCAGCAAGCCAAATTCAATAATGCATTAAAAGGACCATGAACAAGTGGTATTTATTTCAGTAATTCAAGGATGGTAAACAACCAAAAAATTGATTTGATGCAATTCACTATATCAACAAAAATAAAAATAAAAATCATATGATCATATTAATAGATGCATAGAAATTCTTTCACAATATTCAACATCTATTTATGATTAAAAACTCAAAGCATGGAAATGGGAGGAACTTAATATAATAAAAATCATATATGACAAACCCACAGTTAATATCGTACTTGATGAAAGACTGAAAACTTTCCCTGTAAGGTCTGATACAAGACAATAATATCAACTTTCACACTACTATCCAACATAGTACTAGAAGTACTAGCTAGAGGAATTAGGCAAGAGAGATACAAAAGGAATACAAATTTGGAAAGAAGAAGTAAAACTATCACTATTTCATAAGACATAATAATATATACTAAAAACCCTAAAGGCTCCACTAAAAAACTAATTGAAATAAAAATCTAGTACAGTAAAGCATGAGATAACAAAGTCAATTTACAAATTTCCATTGCATTCCTATATGCAGACAATCCAGGAGAGAAAGGAATCAAGAAAACAATCACATTTAGAATCACATTATGAGTAAAATACCTAGGAGAGAATTTAAAAGGATTTGAAGAACTTATACAAGAAAAACGATAAGACGATAAGACATTGTTAAGAGAGGTAGAAGATACACAACAATGGAAAAATATTCCCTAATCATAGATAAGAAAAATTAACATTAAAATGGCTCCTTTATCCAAAGCAATACACATATTCAATGCAATCCCAAAATTTCAATGACATTCTTCAAAAAAAATAATTATGCACTGCTGAAATTCACATGGAACCACAAAAGACCCTAAATAGCCATAGCAATTCTGACTCCCCCCCAAAAAAAGGATGATGGCATTACACATTCACACTTCAGACTATTCTACAAAGCAATAGTAATCAAAACAGTGTGGCATTTAAATTAAAAATAGACACAC